ATTTTAATGTCCAAAAAAGTTTAGTGTACTGAGGACTTAATGTAAATAGAGCAATGTATAAGAAAATTTACCTGTATTGTAACGCATGACGTCGGCTGCTTACCACCAGAAGTTACTGCGCTGATTAAATTTTCAAGTTCAATTCGTTTATCCTTCAACTTTTTGACAAGGCTTTCGATGGCTTTTCGAACAAACTCCGCATCTTCCCCGCCCTATATCCAGAAGAAAAGTAAAAACATTTTAAGAGATTAGCTTTTTCAAATAAATTTAAATTTATTTTCATAACGCCAGACCTGCTGATAGCATTGTAAAACATGCGCAATTTGTGCACACGGATCACTTGCCGTTGCTGTAGCATGCGTAGATGATGATGCAGCAGGGACCTGCTGCGCAACAGAAGTGACATAAGCAGAATGTTGTGCCAAAGAATTTGAAACATCATTACTGACTGACTTATAATGCTAAAAAATAAAAGGAACTGTAGAAACAATAAAACTAAAACAATTGAAAAATCATTTATGAAAAAATCACAGCTAGTGAGACCCAAAAGTACCAAATTATTAAGGTTAGGAGAATTATGGTGAGTCACTGGTGACCCGTATTCATAAAATTCATTAGAGAGTTGAAAGCTAGGATGCATCGATGGATACACGATGGTTGGCATATATTCCTGTTCCTGCAGCCTTGCCTGAATTACTCGTAGATTACGAGGTGATTTTGAGAAACTAAGTGAAATAATGCCTTGAGAAGTTTAAATGCGCTGACAAGTCCCATAACAAGAATAATAAAAATTGAGATCTGAATTGAAATTGTTGAAAAAAATAAAAAGAAAAATTAAAATAAGAATATATGGTAACTGTACTTGTACACTTTGTTGTAGGTGACCCTGAGGTAGCTGCATATTTTGATGCGTGTTATGTGGCAAAACATTCATTGGAACCTGTTGGGATTGCAGCAGACTTGGCTGATTTGACAACGGGTCAGCGGCAACCGAATAAGTTGCCATCGCTTGAGCATACACAACATTTTGTGAACAGTCAACATCCATATGAAGACCAGCATTGGGAGGATTAATTATATCTGAGCCGTTATCAAGCATCCCAACAAGAAATCCACCTACGCTTACAACTAAATATAAAAGATTCTAAAAATCCTAAAATCCCATGTAAAAATTAGTCTCCTTTCAACTTAGAAATATTTCAAATAATAAAACTTTGAATAGAAAAAGAGTTGTTCAAAGAAATGAACAAGCCAAATACAGTGAAAGCTAGGTAAATATTTGCCTGGCTAAGAAAAACTATCAAATTGCGCGTGTTCCGAGAAATTTGAATCAATAACAATGACTGTGAACACAATCATCAAACGCTGAATGCTGAAAAATAACATCTTTTAGATAAATAAAAAAATAGAAAAAAAAACAGCGTTAAAATAATTTCTTTCAAATCAAAATAAAAAAATTGAGTCAGAGTTTTATTTCGCCCCCATAAAATATAAAAAATTATTACGTCAAAATTATTTTTGAGAAAACACTACAACAAAATGGGTAAAACTACCCTCAAAGCATCACATGCGAAAAAAACCGAATATCCACATCCAAATAGCACATTTAAAACAATCCAATCAATCCAGTTGAACAAAAAAATAAATAAACCCATTCCACCAAGCCTGAAAGCTCATATGCAAGTAAAGCAATAGTTTACTTCAAAAAATAATTAACTTCCACAAAAAATAAAAGCAAAGAATGTTTCTTCCCCTTTTCCAACACACACAAAGAAGACTGACCACTAACGAAGTTTTGTTAGCACGTAATACCTACTTAAAAAATTACCAACACTCGCGCTTCCTTTATTTTTCTCTTCAAATTGTTCTTTTCAATAAACCCTCCCAACTTGTCTTCACTGTTGTCAAGTTACGTGATCACAGCACCTTCGACATTACCTGTTCAAATAATTTTCCCTAAGTGCAATTCACGAGTGTCACACTTTATAATCACGATTGAACCTTTCACTTTTCCAGAAGAAATTACCTGGTGAATTTGATAAAATAATTCAAAAAAACTGGTGAATCAAGTAGTAAGAAAGAAAAACAGTAGAATTTTACTTGTGGTTTTAGATTTGATAATTTCCACCTGATATCGCTTGTCCGAACTACCTTCCAGTACAAAAAGTCAAAAATATAAATTGTTTACCATCAAAGTAAAAACAAGAAAACTGTAACCTCAATTTAAAAAAAAACCTTCATGATTGCTGATGACTCAAATGTGTTAAGCAATACATGTATCACACAAATTGATTCTGTAGGGAAAATATGAATCCGAACTGCCCGTTGCTGAAAGAAAAGCGTCTAAGGTCATCATCTAGGTACAAAAAGAAGCAAAGGAATGTTATCAAATTAATTGTTTTAGGTAATTGATGCCAGGTCAAAACTGTTCTCCTATTTTTTACCAGTCTAAAAAACAATTTAAAAAAAATAATTTTAAAATAAACATCTAAGTAGAACGATTTAAAATAATAACAATTCGAAAGTAACTACTTTAACTTATCAATGAAAATCCATATAAAAAAAACTCTTAAAATGAACATGTAGCAATGTTTTATAAGAAGTAATAAGTGTTCTTTTTAAACAGCAACCTTTTATACACCATCGTTAAACACCTCATTGAGAATAAGAAATCAGTAAGGTTGCAGGCACAAGCAAGGAAATTTATTTCACCTTAACCTCAAAAAAGAAAGTCCAAAGCAAATCTGCTGCGGTTTCCCGTCCTGAATGAAGACCAAAAATCATCAAAAAGAGAATTACAAAACCATATAAAAATTTAGGTGGGAAAGATTGATTTCCAAACTACATC